CCCGCGCTTTAACGAATAAATAAATAAATCTGGGTCAGATAAATCAACGACAATGTAAAACGCATTTCCTAGTATATTTGCTTTATATAAATCTAGAAGCCATTATGTTCACAAATACTAAACTTTGTTGACACTTCCATAGATTCGTATTGATTTTTCAATGCAGGACAGTCTGAACAGGACAGATGGTGTACATTTATTTTTTTATTTTTGTTATGCACCAGATGTATCATTGATTCCCAATTCTGCTCATTGTTTTGTGGTGGAAGGGAGTGAATTCAAAGGATGGAATATCCTACACATTTTGATCCGACACGGTAGGTCAGATAATTGAATTAAGGTTTCATACTACTCAGTACATCAGGAGTTCCCGTAGCTGACAATGTAAACACTTGGAAATCGTGGACATTTTACACATTAAGCCAATTAGTTGCGTGGCAATTATTGAGATAATTAGTCACGTGACAATTTAAACAAAAAATTAAAAGAGTGGATAGTCTAGTTAATAATAACCAAATAATAAACAGTTAACATGAGTTGAAAGTCTAAAAAAGGGAGCAGCTTCAACCACACTGATATTGACAATATTAGAAGAGGTCACGTTGACCCAGCTGAACAGTTCAAAACATGTTAACATTTTCGTTAAAGGGCGGCGGTCGTCACGCTGCGCATACGCGACATTTGTGTTCGTGATAAACATTGATTTTCTCACAATACAATATGCTCTTCTTATATAAACCGCGAGAACGTGTTTCGACCTGCGTGCGACGTGCACTATTTACCGTTGATGACTCCTTTGATACCTTCCAATCACCAAAGAAATTACCTAGTTAAAGCTTGTTAACGTCTCAGTTTGTTGGTCTGCCCAAAAGTCAAAGTTGCCATTTTTGTTCATATGAGACCCATATCTCGCGCATGCGCAGTGCGACGATCACGCCCTTCAATGTTGTAATATCGTGTATAATAAGGATTGGTTATTCTGGTATAATCGTGTTAAAAATTGTTTGAAATACTCAGAGTAGTGCCATGATCAAAAAGTCCTATGCGAAAAGCGTTTATTTTTTTTTTTTTTAATTATGGCCCCGAGACGAGACATTTCAAATAAAATGGGAGATGAACGGAGCTTATCCATAGGAGGGAACACGATGAGCTAAATAATAAATACGTTCAAATCCCGAATTGCCATCAGCAATAGCACCTAATTAAAAATAAGAAATACGATTGGGTATTTGGTGGTGACGTACTGCAGTCATGGCGACGGGCTACTCTCATCACAATCTAATATAGGTCTTACACCATAAAACAAGTACAGATATAGGTTATAAACTGGCTGTCTTTCTGAAAATATTGAAGGCAGGAAGACTGACAAATCTGTGCGTTTTGTTTACATCCCTTTTGTAGGAGTTTGAGCTGGCCAACATTTATTTTTGCCAGAATTATATTACAACCGTGTATTTTCACTAAATTAAAACAATATCATCGCCTTTGTGTGCATTATCCAATGGCGGCCATATTTATGCCTCTTGCAAAATCACGAGATTCTTCTTATTTTAATCTCTGAACACAACTGACGCCGACGTAACTTTTTCAAAGCAGAACACGGTAAGCAGTGCTAGAATGTGTACTTCGAAACTGAGGGTGGCGGTGAAATCTAGGCTGGCGACTGCTCATTTTATTGAAATATATTGATATACATTGTAACAAGTTGTCAACATTTTATGATATTCAAAAATGTCTAGATGTCATTAAGTTCACTATGATCCCGATCAATGTACTGATATAACCAAAGAAAACACCCAGAAATCTGCAAAAAAATCTCCACATGTCGCAAGCCTGATATGCAGACACTATATTTGCGTTGTACGACAATGAAGTGCTTTAGATCGGAGTTCATCTTTTCAAGTTGTAAAAGTATGATGGATGAAAAAAAAAACATAGTTAGTAACGCACGGCAATGGATGTGTTCATATTTACTTATTTTATAGTACTGGTCACCGAGTACTTTCCCGGTAAATGCAATATATTTTCAATAAATTGCGTTGCCAATTTTGGGTCATGGCGTAATTATATGTCAGAATCTGGATATGGTACGTTAATATAATACTAGTTACGAAGATGGATGTACAACCCTGAGCTAGAGACGCGACTGGATAAAAATGGCGAATTGTTGGCGTACGCACAACAAAATACACTAGAACCTGCAAATATTAGAATGATACATTATCCTCAATCAAAGTGCCCCTCCGTGTAAGACTGTATATGTCAGACGATTTACTAATTGCGTCCACGCAGGGGGAGGGCCAGTCGTTAGCACGGGCTAAGGGCTGCCATTAGTTGGTGACCTTTGGTAAGCCGCTATTTACGAACGAAAAATGGATGACACGCGTGAGGTTCTATTTCTGCTGCTGGCGTGTTTCGTTCTAATTTTGAAGCGACGTGCACAGGAACGCGAGAGAAGACAGACCACTTATTTGGATGCACATAAACAGTATACAACGGGCGTAACAGAATACAGCGTTTTATTAATGCATGTCGTAGACAGCGAACCAAATTTATTTTGTCTACGATTGGAGCTGCTGTACGCTCTACTACTACAGTGACCCGAATAGTGTGGAAGTGAGCGCGGAGTAATGACTGGTGGAATAGTGTCGTTATACGAACATGGGACAATTTTCACACCCAAAGGTCGCCGCAAAGGGCGCTTAGCCCTGGGCTAAGCGTTCGCGCATACTTCGTTAGCCCGTGCTAAGGTCTAGACCGCGTTTTAAATTCAGTTCAGATTTAACCCGTACTTAGCATTCCTTAGCCCGTGCTAAGCGTTCACGCACGTTTTCTTAGCACGGGCTAAGGAATTTGACCTCTTAGCCCGTGCTAAGGAGCTGTGCGTGAACGCAACTACTGTCACAGTGACATCGTATTAATTACGACAACTCTTTACGATGGGTTTTACAACGCGGACTGTGCACGTGTAAACAGTGTTATCATTAAACAAATAACATTCTGTTCGACATTCTTGTTGCCAATTACCTGTTACCCGTACCTATTCAACAAAAGTACGCCAGGAAGTAGGTTGATTTTTTAAGAATTTATTACGAGTTTCAGTTGCTGATAGATCAATGTATTACAATACATCATATAGTCATGCATTAATGAACACTGGGGGCGCCCTAATACACTTATCACGATGGTACCTATTATTACATATGATTATGATTTGCCTGATGCTGTCCAGTCATTAAATCTCACATCACGTGACCCACCTGTTTTACCATTCGTAATTATATTTCAATTCAATTTATATTTATTGAAGGGTGTTTAGATATCGAATGATTCACTGTTCTTCATGCCACTCCGTCGCTGAGGGCAGTCGACTAGTTTGCGTTTCCTGAGGATTTTGTATAGCGTACATCTAGTAAAGCAGCCGAAGGTCACATGGTATGTAATGTCTGAGACTAGTTTACGGGTATTGTCTCGGAGGTAGTGGCCCCAGATCCAGTGATCCGAACTACAGCTAATGCTACAACTAGTGTTAGTTCGGTATAATGTCAGACATGCCGAGAAAGATTTCTTTAAGTCAGTCGGCAAAAGTGATCATTACGAGGATATCTGTCATCAAATTCAGGCTACATTATGCTCGTAGTTACTTGCGTAGCGTGAATTGGGTCGTCTTCGTTAGAAACACCATTCCGAATTACACCGAACTCTTTGGATTCTTCTTTACCAATCTTTCTAATATATCGGGTCAACAGAATGCGCATCAGCTGTAAATTTTAATGAAAAAAACAAACAATGTATGACTTTCGATTCTGAACATATGCAACGTGTCCGCGGGCGGACATCCGGGCATTTTCACCGCCGAAAACCATCGCGGTGAAAACAAAGA